CTGGGGTCAAATCTTGAGCTTAACTGAAGATCTTTGTAAAATCATGGACTTAAACTAGACCCACATCCCCCAGCTACAAATCAACCTCTCTGTTGAGAAAATAAGCCTGCTACAGAGTGTTATATCTTTTCCAGAAAAGCAAGCACACTTATACAACACATTTGATAGGAAGCATCCATCATTGGGCCTTTGATCAACCATATAAAATGTCTTTCCCACCTCAGTGAAGCTGAGGTCTGGGTGTTTGTCTCCCCCAGGAAACAAACTCTTTCCAGGCTGCATGATGTCTGACTTTGGTAACTGCTCATGCCTGGTGAGAACTCAGGAATTACACAGGACAGGAGCTTAAGGCAGAAAGAAGTCTTTGAGAGCTACTTTTGGGACACTGTCTTGATCTTCGATGACATTGAATCTACCATGTTACTTATGATAATTCTAAAGCTCAAGAAGCCCCAGTCTCAGCATGAACATAAGAGATATGTTTCAAATCCACTAATTTCCATATTGTCTCTTTTTTTTTTTTTTACTTTTTACCTCTTCTAACTGCTAAATTAATATTACAGACATGGCAGCTATGTTAGTAAAAGCTAGACGTGAACAAATACTTTCAGTCATCATGTTACTAAAGTAAAAATTTAGATGAGTAGAGAAGTAATTTATATTCAAGATATTTTTAACTGCATTGACTGATTGTGACTACCAAATTAGGCAAGAATTTAGACCAAATCTATATTCAGGCTACTGGTCAGAACCATGAGGAAGGTCATGATATCTGGAAAATTCCAAGGCATTTACCCAAACTTACCCATCTACCGAAGAATGTTTTCCTATCTTAGTCCTGTCAAATCTGGGAGCTCTTTACCTGACTGTCTGATTTGTAAGGCTCTGACAACTCTTTTAGGGAAGGTCTTCACTAAAATCAGATAGAGTTGATTTTCATTCAAACAAACCACATGAAGTTGCCTTCCCAAAAGGATTCATAGTCCCCTAGTTTTCTGACCACCAAGTCATACTATGCTGTAAGACAGGGGAGCTATATCTGCATAAACACTAATTTGATAGCTCTGGTTATTCCATTGCCACAACTCTCTGAGCTAGTGGTATGGCTAAGTTAGCCATACTTGGACAGTGAGAAAGTTGCATTCCAATGCTCATTTTTGAAAATATGGAAGTAATTTATATTAAGCTGTAATTAGAGAGAGTCTGCAACACATTTCTCCCCTTTCTCTGAGAGTATATGACAGATTCAGCACTTTTCTTTCTGTACTCTAATGAGTATCAGGAGACACGTGACTACACATCCAGGTAGACTGAGAAGGGGCTAGAGCCCCAACAAAACACAGTGAGGGCACAAGCATTAGCTAATAACTATCACATGAACATTGCTATGACAGCAACATACCCATGCTTGTCAAATTTTCCCTGTTGGTACTTCAAAAGACATCAGCAATTCTCCTGCACTTCACAACAATTATCCATTAGTGTGTTTTTTTGAGAGAAGAGTGGATTTATAAAAATTTATGTTTGTGAAGAGTTGAAATTATGTGTAAATTCAGACTGGATCCAAGACATAATTTCAGCTAGAAAAGGTGAAAAACATGTTGAAATACTGAAGTATTCTATTTCAGTCTTTTAAAATATTTTTTTCAAAATAGAATCATAAAGGTTATGCTGTAATTTCATTTAACATTTTCTTTTTTATCATAAAAGTCTGATTAAAAATTAGGCTAAACATATATGAGAACTAAACCAAGTTAATTAAGGTTGAAATAAATATGTCTAATTAATTCAAGAGGAGGTTGTTTTGTTTAGTGTAATAAATCAAAAGTCCTCAAAAAGTCAAGTCATGACTTGACTGAACTTTTCTATGACACTTCACAGCAAAATGCATGATTTGACCAGATCCAGCATACATTCATGGGTTGGTGACAAAGCCAAACCACAGTGAGGAGAGCAGACAGTCTTTGCTAATGATCTAATTCTCACAGCCACAGTATAAGCCAGCACTGGGATTTATTTATTTCTTCTTAAAAGTAAAGTCCTGAGTATACAGAGAACAGCAGAACTGGAAGAAAAGCATTTTCTTCTATTTTGTTCAGCTATTGTCAAATAGTTATGCTCAGGTGGTGTTTTCTTTTTAAAAATTATATATTTAAATCACAAAGCCATGAAATGTTTAACACCATTCTGGAAAACTGATTTGTACAGAGTTTAGTTACATTTATTATTTAACAAGTGAATGGCAAAACTTACTTAAAGTTTCTCCGAGCATTTCAGATATTAGCAGGCTTTATAGAGATAAGAATAACAGGATTACTAGGGATGCTAATACTATACAGCAGAATTAAAAGCTACATCTAATATGGCTATTACTATCACTTTAGAACTATCCTACAATCTATTATGCTTTCTTAGCAAGTTAATGAAATTCTTTGTCCCACACACAAAGGATCTGCAATATAATAAAGTTATTAATGAAAGTAATTAAACCTGTTAGAATAAAAAAGGATCACTGGCAAAAAATAAAAAGGTAAATGCAATTCACTTACTCAACAATCATACTATTGTTTTGTAAACAATGCAAATTTTTAAAAGGCTTATCACTTCATGCTGTACACAGATCATTTGAAAAATATCGGTGCATGTATTTCTTTGAACATCTAAATCAGTTTTTAAAAACAAGGTTTTGCTTAAAAACTGCAGCAGGAATGTAACTACAGCAACTAAAAAACCACCAAGTGCTATTTCAGAAGTAACAAGTAAGGTATACAAGTTTTAAAAAATTTCTCCTGCCAATAGACGTTGTTTTCCTTTTATTGTGGCTTAATATGGTTCATAATTTCCTTGGCTTTAAGACCAATGACTTTTTAAAGTGTAAAACGTATCTGATTATTCTTACCTTATGCTGAAGGATAGATTGATTTGTTAGGCATTTCGGTTTTTTCACATATTAAAAATTAAGCAATAAGGCACAATGTGGAGGAGTGATTATCTGATGATAAACCCAGCATCCTGAAATTGCTTTATTGCAAATATAAATATATTTTAGATTTTTCACTGGATATTAAGGGCATTAGCATGCCCAGAGAGTTTAATCTTCCCCTTCAGAATATTAAATTCATAAGGCTTTTTTTATTTCTAAGCTATTTTTAATGCGCAAGACAGGACTTCATATACTCAAGAAATAGTGTAATTGGCTGGTGCACACTCCACTGGGGAGATAAATTTACAAGCACTGTACAGTTCTGCTAAAACTACTTCTCAACCTTTCAAAATGTCAGTAGTATATTTTCCCAGCCCTGTAAACACATTTTGATACACAATATAAACTTTAATGGTAGTTTTAAGACATCTCTGGGGGTATGGTTATTTAAGCAATAAGACACAGTGGGGTGTGAATTATGGTATAATAATTCCCTCCCAACTGCATTGTTAGGCTCAAGGCCAAAGGCCAAGAGACCAATGAACATACTAGGTGTGAATTATGACTTCATAAGTCACACTCTAGAGTGTTTTACTGACATTAGAGAAATATTTAAAACATGTTTTAGAGCAAGTACTTTACTCCTATAGTACTGTATGTTAGTGGAATATCATGAAAAATCTTTCCAAGTAAAAAGTTAGCCATTATGTAACCTGGAATTAAAAAAAAATTTAAAAATTGAAACAAATGAAAAAAAAATCTTCTAACTTTGTCTGCGCACTGTGGTGACATGCTTTAAAGAACAACCCCAGAAAATATACCCAAGTTTGCAAAAAATAGCATGAAGGCCTTCTGCACAGGGGATCATAATCTGCTTTGCTTATTGTCTGTAGAATCAGACTACCAGAATCAGGGATGTACTGGCCTCTCCCATGTAATTGTGTGCTGGAAGTGCTAGAAAATCTACACACCTCTTTTTCCATGCTTGTCCACACCACTGTAATAGGGCACAATGTGGACTTTGAACAAGAAGCAAAAAAGTTCCTTAAGACCTCATTTGAACTCCTGCAGTTGAGTTCCTGAGGCTGCTCACAGTTCTAACACAACTTTTAGCAAGGACTGCAAGTAGGATAATGTATATTTATACTGTTTCCCGTTTTAAACTCCCTTTGACAAATGCCTTTTCTCCCCTCTGGGTACTCCTGCGTTCCAAGTGCAGCAATGACAACGGTGTCATCCGGAGATACACAAGCTCACCTTACAAACAGCTCAGTGACTGGGAGCAAGCTCACTGCAGCTGCAGGGAATTTGGCATCATCTAAACTGGCTCCTCAGTCAGTTTTACAGCTTGTCTTAAACTTCCAGGCTGCTGTGGATTGATTGCTACCAGTGGCTGAGCCAGCTAGGGAGCATTAGGGTTAGCAGTAGGGTAGGGTTTATGGGAGGGCTGCTTGCCAGGCCCATTTGGGGAGTGATAAGCCTCAGGGCATGTCTGCACGTCTCAGTGCACTGAGGTGCTCAGCACTGCGAGGCTGCCTGGGGAGAGGCTCTTGCGGCTGTGAATAGGGATGCTGTCCCATGTAGGGATAACAACCTGCATCCTGGAGGCAAAACAGCTGCAAGGTCAGGTTAATTAGCTATTCTGCATCCAGTTCTGGAGCTGTTGCATTTTGCACTCACACTCTCTGTGTGTCCCTGGTTATCTGAACAAAACCCAGAAACCTCAGTTCTTCAAGGCACAGCCTCATTGTGACATACTTGTGTAGCAGGTGAGAGGGTGAGAGTTGTTTTCTGCATAACCTCTCTCACAGGGGTTACCTGCCCCTCCTGTATAAAGCCATTGTCTGTGGCCATTTAGATCAGTCAAAGGTAAGGTTTGGACTCTAGAGTTCCTCATTCTCCATGAAATAGAAATGGATAATCTCACACAGAGGACTTCTCTGAAGCTAACAGTGGCAACAAGGTAGAATTCCGAGCTAACTTGGTGTCTTCCCTTCCTTGTCCACTCAGAATGTCTGTTTTAATCTCCAGCAAGAGAAGGTGCTTAATTCTGCTACAGCTTGATGATACTCATGGGAACAATTTGAGTTTTGCTGCTTCCTTGTATAAACAATCAAAGAAGCATGTGGTTGCTTTTTACTATTCAGCCTGATTGAAATTTTGTCAAACATGATGGAAAAACCTACACCTCTATGGATTTTTTTCCTTTTCCCACAACTTCCAACAAGAATGAGTGCACCTTTTTAGACCTAGCTTATATTTGAAAATATTTGTTTTATATCCACTTGCAAAACTGGTAGCACTTTTTCCTGCATCTCAATAGGAATGGGACAAGCAGCCAAGAAAAGAGTTCCACACTGGCTCTACATACTCCAAGAACTTAAAATAAGTAGCCCAGAAAAGTACAATTAAATATATATAAATTACACCTTTTAGTGGCAAAACAGTATTTGAAAGACTGCTAGGTAATAACTGACAAGTTCCCAGCAGCATGTTTTCCATAAATTAACATTACTGCTCAGAACTCATCTACACTAACTAGAATGCTGCAATTTCTGAAACCATTTCATTACACGAAATTTGAGGTATAAATGCATCACTGTGCTACCGTAATAAGGACATAATACTTTGATATACCCATCTCTGCAAAGCCTTCTGGCCTGTAACAGTAAATCACAGACCTATTTTCATACCTCATTACCACTATGTATCTTTCCACTGACACCTGACCTTATGCATAATCAGTTATGAATTTCAAACCACACTTATAATCTAAATGAATGCCTCATTATTTTACATAACCCAGAATGGAATAAGATTTGAGATGTAATTTCAAATTCACAGTTCACACATTCAGAAATGCAGGTCCATCAAAAAGAAGTAATGGTCTCTAATTCATGACTGCGAACAGCACCAAATCACTCCTACACATAGGAGCTCTGCAAGAATTTAAGGATTGGATTTTAGAAAGGATATTGCCAGTTCTGAAAAAAATAACACAGTGTTGAAACTGTTTGGTATGTTGTTAAAGATAATCTATAAAAGAAAAATGCAAGTACTGAATTTATTACCTGTATTTTGAAGAAAGAACGACAGCACCAATTGCATGAAGTCATAAAACACCAGAAAAAAACATGTAAATAATCTCCATGGAACACAGACATCTACAAAGAAATATATATATATATATATATATATATGTATACATGTAAGATAATAAACCCATTCATTAGAGAACAAGAAACATATTTTTGTACTGTATAAAACAGCTGTACAGTGTGCACACAGACTTTCCTGATCTCTCCAAAATGTCTGTCAGTCACTTCTCCCCATCATCATTTGCTTAACATATTTTCTTCATTGTCCATGGGAGAACTCCAAGTGACTGTTTTGTACTTTTAAGATAGTGCAGTTTGTCTCCATACATATATGCACATGCATACATATATATACTTGCTGGTGCACACATATATGTATACATGTATATATATGAAAAGAACAAACACACACATGTACACACACGCACACACGACAGATCTAAACAACTCCTCCAGCCTGTGCTATTGAGTTAGTGCTTGTAAAAAATCCCTGCACATTTTGTGAAGGGAAGGAAACTTGCTGATTGTGCAGATTGAAGTCATTAGATGGTTCCATTCCTAACAGTCTGCAAACACACATCTGACTCATATGGTGGTATCCCATATGCCCGAAGAGAGTCTGTTGCAGGAGGTATCTTCTACCTTCTTCAGCAGCGTCGGCTTCTTACAGGGGGGTGGAGGTGGGGCTGAGATTCTCTGCTCAGTATTGTGCAATATTTGCTGCCAGTCTTCTCTCTCTTCACACAGCTTTCTCCTCCAATCTAGAAGCTCTTGTAGAGCCACGCTCTCATTTTCGGAAAGTCTAAGCTGATGAATTACCTGTGAGAAGAAAATAATAATAACAGTAACAATAATAATAAAAGTGGATAAGGAAAACAGATCAAGTAAGCCTATGAATAATTTGAAGCAAACTTGTCCTCCAGAAAGGTGTTAAATTTTTACACTGAAAATAAAGAACATTAGTGCTTTAGAATTACTTTATTGCAATCTCATGGCTGAAAATCACAGAGTCTGAAGTCATAATGTCTGAAGTTGTATGAAGCAACTGCCAAAAATGAAATGAACAGAAAAAACTTCCCTGTTTCATCAAGGGAACAATTCTTTCATGAACACAATTCTTTAAAACACAAAAAGCAGACTGCCTACAGCTGTTGCAGGAGTTGCAAGATTTTTCCTCTAAATGTAAATTCCCAAATAGCCATAACCAAGAAACCATAACCTTTGTTGCATATTTGAATCAGTAAAGCTACTTGTCTGAGGCACGTGCTATCCTCAGCACCAGGGGCCAGTCCCTGTATACATGAACAACTTTAACTGTAGTTTCAGTTGGCCTGAATCTACTTATAAATTCATTCTGAAGTAGTCACAGTTCTGTACTGGATTCTTAATGCACTTAGAAGAAAATGTTCCCTTCCATTTAACTCTTCTATTGCAGTGATTATTTATTTTGTTCAAGTCAGTTTGAAGCCCTCATGGCAGCACAAGTCCATGAAGCAATGAAGTCCATCTCACCATCCTTTCAGACTTACACGACACCTATGCTGTACAGCAGCCCCTAGAGCAAGGATTGAGATCTATTGTCTTGGGAGCATTCTGCAGCAGGAAAGGCTTAACTGGAAAATACGAAACAAGTCCATCATAACATCTAATAGTCCACAAGCCTTATCCTGTTACCTTCTTTCTTATGAGCCCCAGAGGAGCATCTGGAAGAGGCACCTGTGGCATGACTAAAATGTCCACATTTCACCTCATACAATGGGCTCACACTGAGGCTGCATTTCTACTTGTCATAATGAGGGATGGCTGCATGTTGATCATGAAAAAGGAAATGATGTGCAGTGCTCATGAGACACCCCAGACATGATTAGCTCCAATTGCAAGGAAAGCTGAGTGACACAAAGGGCATTTTTGTCACTGATAGACAATGGGGTTCCTGGGGCAGAAGAACTACCTGTGGGCTCTCCCTGTGGCTCCTGCTCTTCCATCATGGAATAGCAAGTGGCTGCATACAGAGTTTTACACTGCTATTTCAAATGTGTCCTGTGCAATTCAGATCTTTCAGATGCACGTGGTGTCATCTGAAGGAATGAGCCCTTACATGGATGTGCCTGAATATGTACAGGGAATTTGCTTAACTTCTGGTTGGTTGATACTTCAAGGAGAAATACATTAACATATAATATACCTGCTAATACCAGGTATAATAAAAACAGTTTAAATTTCTGAAATTTTTTTAAAGAAAAAAGAAAAGAAAATGTTTCAAAGACTTAATTAAAGTGTATCTCAATTGCATATCACTATAAAAACCTCTTTGCTTTTATATTTACACAAAATTCAACAGGACAACTCAGCAACTCAGATAAAAATTAAATGTTTCACGTATATTGCTAGAGGAACATCAGAGACTAAACACACTACCTTTTCTTTATTTCAGCGGTATATAGAAGATTACAAGACAAAAGTTTGTACTTGGAAATAACTTATCAAGAAAGGCCGGGTGTCTTTATCCTAAAGAACAGTTGGGTAGTTTGTGAGTCACCATGGCTTACTCAGTTCTGGCTATTTTCTGTAGTTTTTTGTGGATTTAAACTATGAGCATAATCCATTTTAGAACATACATAGATTGGAATACAGTCTTCCCAATTTGGACACCTTATTTGTCCCAAAATTTTAGACATTTCATGAATCTGCACTAGAGATGCTTCTTAGAGAGGTGCTGGAACACACAAGAACCAAGTTTTGTTAGACTGTGTCATTGCAAGAGTTTTGCATGAAAGAGTTTCAGAGATAATTAATCAAAGGCATGCCTGAACAATGGAGGATAAATATAGTTATAAAAAAATAGATATTTTGAAACTGAGTAATTGGATGTGCTCTGGTGACAAATGTTTGAAAGCATGACTAATGAAGTCTGGAAGAATTTTAAGATTGAGAGATGGACAGAGTATTTGACAAGAGACAGTGCTCGTGCCATTCCAAGGAACACAAAGGCACATGGGTGCAGGTGAGCAGTGAGTACATTTTGCCTGGGCATGGAATTGACAAATGTATCCTGCTTATACCTTATAGGCATTGAAGAAGCTTTATTATACTGGCCCTGCTTATGCAAGCTGTAAATTAATATTAGCTTATAAGTTAGAGCTCATTTTCCAGTGTACAGTGGAAAAAAGTTAGTCCAGTTTACAAATAAGTGTACATATTTTATCTCATTTTCTACAACAAGGATGGAAAAATATATCAAACATTTATTCACAGTGAAACTGATCTGGTAAATAAACTGGAAAACAGCCTGGATGAAAGACATGAGATGAAACTGCAGTCAAAATGAAATGGGTGAAAATGCATGAGAAGTGGCAGAACTCTAAATGAACCAATTAATTTAATTAGATCTATTTGAATAACATGATATCTTTTCTCTTTTCCATTTATGATTAGACCCATGACAAGCTAAATATCTACTATACATATTCATTATAGAAAAGGTTGGCTGAATAATTTTACATGAAGCACAAGGTAAAACAGCAAGCTATGTGTCTTCACTATTATTCCATATCCTGAGCAGGTATTTTGTGAAAGGTGAATGATGCATGTAGGAATCAATCATTTTAAGACTACAGATCTTTTAATGGACACTCAACAAACAACTTCCACCACCTGTTTTAGCAACCGTAGACCAGGATTTTTGTACTGAAAGCCAAAGGTCAGTCAGACATGGTAAACAGCATTTGGGTTAGACCCACAAAACATACATTGGCATTAACAGCTCTGCCATTGGGTGGAAACACCATCCCTGTGTTTAGTATCCAGAGTTCTTTATGAGGAAACAAGAAAAGCTAAAGTGTCTAAGTCACACACAAAAGAAGAACTTTTCTGAGGAGTTACCACAGCTATAAATTGGAAACTGCAATGGATTGAAGGATTTACACCAGATTCATATTTTTCACTGCAAAATATGGCAAGATGGACAAAATAAATTTGTAATGAGCAGGCCAAGGAGGAGTTTTCAGGATTAATTCTTTCCACTTCACAGCCCAAACTCCCAGGCTGTAAAATCAAATTCTCTCTTACTGGCATCAGGGATTTTGGCTGGTGACAGAACACCAATGACTCAGTTCCATCATGAGATGTATGGAAGGAGTTTCATCATTCTCTAGAAGTTAGAGCATATTGGAAAATTAGAAGATATGGATTCAGCTTCTCTGTGTCAGTCCTAGCTGGGATGAAAATAATTTTCCTCTTTGCATTGGGAGCTAGAAGAGAGCTGATAGCACTCCAGGGTTTTGGCTGCTGCTGAGCAGCACTGGCACAGCCTCACTGCTGTCTCCAACATTCCCACCTGACCAGTAGTCTGGGGGTGGGCAACATTTTGGGAGGGGACACAACTAGGCCAGCCTGCCCAAAATGACCAAAGGGATATTCCATACCATATGAGATCTGCACGCCTAAAAGAAAAAGGATGGGCAAGGGGGAACATTAATTATTTACAAAGTTTGTTTTCCAGAACAACCTCCACCTATGCAGAAACCCTGCTTCTCAGGAAGTAGCCAGACATTGCTTGCTGATCAGAAGTAGAGAATAAAAACTTTCCATTTTCTTTCCTTTTTCCTTTGCTGCTTGCACATGCACAACCTTCACTTTTGCTTTAGTAAACTGCCTGTACCTTGACCCATGAATTTTTTCCATTCTGTTTTTTCCCCCTGTCCTGTTGCAGGGGGGCGATAGAGCAGCTTGGTGGGCACTTGGTGTTCAGCCAGGGCCAAGCCACCACAGTTCTTTCAGGTTAAGGAAGAGACCAAGTTCCCACATGGTGCAATACAAGGGGTGGACTCCGAGTGCAGAGCAGAAGGACTCTGACTCCTGTGCTTTGCGCAGTCAGAGTAGTGTGCTAAAGTAAATCCTTCCGAGAGAGTCCTTTGTGGTTCAATGCACAAAAAAACCATTGGAGACAAAGCACTTTGGTCACATGCTGGCAGTCATGAAAGTCTTAGAGCACAATTTTGCCTATACACATTTGAGTATTGCATAGTCATTGGAGAATGAGGCTCTGAACTGCCTGTTGGATTTAGGCTTGTAAATTCTGCCTAGATTTCACTTTTCAGCCTAAAGAAGACATACTGGATTTCAACTTTGTCTTAGAATCAAGATGAGTTGCTATAAGGTAAGTCAATAAATTATTTTAATGACAGTCTATTTCATATGCAAGTTAAAAATTCAGCAAGTTTTTACTTATAGAAAGTAAAAGGTTTCATATTTTAAATAATTTGTGACAAAAAAGTATGCCAGATAAAGTGATTAACTGGCACATTTAAAATTAACTTTGAGTCATTTAGAGATTTTGCTCTAGAATTTCAAGAAATTCATTCTGCATTAAAAGATCAAACACTGTAACTTTATAGAGGATGTTTTGTAACATTCAGAAGCAGAGAACTTACATTCTCTGTTTGTGTGTCAAATGCAACAGTCTTAATCATCAGCCTATGATTAAAGGGCTCATTACACAGTCTGACAACACAGAGATTTATTATTGGTAGATTCTTTTCAGTATTGTACCTCAGTTTGCTCCCTCACTGATGAAATGTAGAGTTTATCTTTCAAAAAATATGTGTATAGTACTCCAGAAAATTTTTCATTTGTGAGTGCATTGTTTTTACTAATATCCACCAGAAATGAAGTATTTAATTACATATGCTAATTACCTATTATTTAAAACATACAAATAATTTTCTGTGTGAAAAATGTAGCAATTCATGTTTTGTTACTAAACTACCAGAACTACCGACTAAAACCAGTTGCTTCCTTAAGTTCTAGTAAGGTTCCTG